CCTTCTTTCTAACATTATCTTCTGTCTACTCTGTATGTATGTTGTATGTACCTTTCATATAAGTGTTATCTCCAATGTAAGCAGCTTGAGGGCAAGGACTGCTTTTGCCTTTTTTTGAATCCCCAGCCCTTGGCACAATGTCTGTCACATAGTGAGCAGTTAATAAATGCTTATTGTTTAATTGAGTAATTGATACCTACAATGATAAAATCCATTTTGCAAGAACACCAAAACCAACTGAAAGTGTTCTATTGCTAGCTAGTTGGAAACACAAGGTTCCCAGCAGACATGTTTTCTACAAGTATGAGGTAATGTAGAGGAGAGAGTTAAAGATAACTCTTAAGGTTATAGATATGGGAGATGGGATAAATTCTATTCCTAGCAACAAATTAGGGTGCAGCTAGATGGCACAGTGAATAGAGCACTGAACCTGGAATCAGGATACTCAACTTCCTGGATTCAAATCTAGCTTCAGACACTTACTATCTGTGTGAACCTGGTCAAGTCGTTTTACCCTGTTTACCTCAGTTTGCTCATCTTTGAAATGAGCTGGAGAAGGAAATGGAGAATGCTTCAGTATCTTTGCCAAGAAAACCCCAAATAGGGTCATGAAGAGTTGACACGACTGAAACAATTGAACAACAACAAAATGACAAAACAGAATGGAGTCAAAAGATGAAACAGGTTTAGGGGGGAAAAGGAAGTAAGCTCAGTTTCAGACATGCTGAGTTTGAAGTTTGGTACAAACTTCAGCATAAATGTAATCCCCTTTCCATATGATAACCCTTCTAATAATTTGAACAGAGAGAACATGTTCCCCAGGCCATGTTCCAGTCTCCAAGTCTTCTAAAACAAGCTAAGCATCGCCACTTTATTCAGACAGGTCCTAATGATGTGATTTTGAAAGACCTCCCCATCCTGATTATCTTCCTACCTTATGCTTCTTTTAATGTGAAGCCTTGAACTCAGTATGCTTTGAGTTGCATTTCTCAGCCACAGTGATTGGTTTCCCCTAAGTTATCTATACCCATACCCACACCCTTATGTGGTGCTCCTTGTGACCATCAGTAGAAAGCCAACCAGTTAGCTTCAGGATTGCAGTCTATCTATGAATCATATATTCAACCCAAACCAGCTGGCTACCTATACAGGGATCAAACAATAACCTTGGTCTCAGTTACATGGTGTCCTAAACAATTATGTTTTAAATTGGCCATACATTAATAATCAATATACTAAAAGACAGAGGTCCTCTGAAGTTATTAGGAACCTTCACCAAAGGTTGCTTAGCTGATGGTAATTACAAGAAATTAAACGTGTCAATATTTTTCTAACTTTGCAGCATGTCTCCTGCAAGAACGTTACTGTATGAAGTTTTCTTTATATTTGTTTTACCCACAAATTGAAATACAGAAATACAAGAATGTGTTGAAAAATAGTCTTTATTCCTGAATTATTTTACTGCTAAAGTTTGACATGAGTTTTATCATTGGGATAGCATGGTGCATTCTGTTGATCTTATTACACACACACACACACACACACACATACACACACACACATTAAAACATTTTTGTAGCTAATTTTTGTTTTGTTCAAACTTCATTGAAAGAAAAATGTACACCTTTTCTTCATTAAGAAGACATTTGAACTTTCAGTTTGAAAGAGAACCTCCTTAACAGAAAGACGTAAATAACCCCCCAGAAATCTTCGACTCAGACTGGTATTTTCTCCTGCTTGTGTGCTCATACTAGATTGTTGTGTGAGTGGTCATTATTACAGAGGGAAGTATATTCTGATTGTATAGTCTTGTAATTATGAAATGTTTATATATCCTTTATTCATACTAGAAATTATGCTATGAAGGTAGTCGTAGTTACCTCCTTGGTAATTTTTGTTAAATCTTGTAGAATTATCCTAATTCTGCATATCATGTCATAGTTCTACTCCTCATGTGGCAGATATTTACCTTGTCATCATTTATGCCCCATTTATATAAGGGAAATGAAGTCTTTTCATTTTATTCTTGGAACTTGATATGATATATGAAATTATTTCTCCACATTAATGAAGAAACATCTGCCATGAATTAACGCTGTTGGAAGTTGTCTATGTCCAGCTAATTCAAACAACGAGTCCTGTTTTTAAGCTATATTGTTTGACATTAGGATGACAGGGTCATTTTTCTATTTAATTTTTTGAGAACGTTTTATTGAAAAAATAGAAGTTTAAATTAAGTTTAACTTTAAAAACTTTTTCATTAATTTTTTTTGTCAAATTTTCTGGAGGAAGAACACAAGAAAAAATTGTCAGTCATTTCCAATAATATCATAAGATGTTACTGATGTTTCATGAGATTTTTATGTACATGCTATAGAAGAATTCTCCCCTCCTGATCTATATGTTTCTATAGAGCCATAAGCTCTGGGAACTCATGAAACTTGAGGGCAGGGACTGTTTTGACATTTTGTTTTATCCTTAGTCCCTTAATAAATATTTGTTGAATTGGATTGAAGAATTATACTCTCTCTGTTGTGTATTTGACCCCTCTCATCCTAAACATCAACTAGTGGAAAATATCCAAGAGCTCCAAGTGTTTGTGTTTGGATGTGCTGCTTGTCCATGGCACCCAATGAGTAGAACACATGAAGGGAGGATGGCAAGACTTCTGGCGTCTTGCCCAGTAGCCTGAGCTCATAATGGGAATTCTGAAGGATGTCAGGACAGTATTCAATGACTTTAGGGTCTATAGGATGCTATAATTCCAAGAAAACAATATGTATAAAGTAGTTTAAGTCAAGTTTAGGTTTAGTTTAATCACTATTAACAAGAGATGCTAAGGACCCACTCTTTGACAAAAACTGCTGGGAAAACTGGAAAACAGTATGGCAAAAACTAGGCATAGATCAAAAACTCACACTATATACCAAAATAAAGTCAAAATGGGTTCATGATTTAGATATAAAGGCTGATACTCTAAGCAAACTGGGAGAGCAGGGAATAGTTTACATATCAGATTTATGGAGAACAGAAGAATTCATGACCAAACAGGAGATAGAGAACATTACGAAAAGCAACATGGATAACTTTGATTACATTAAATTGAAAAGTTTTTGCACAAACAAAGCCAATGCAACCAAGATTAGAAGGAAAGTAGAAAATTGGGAAAGAATTTTTACAGCCAATGTCTCTGATAAGGGCCTCATTTCTAAAAAAATACAGAGAATTAAGTCAAATTTATAAGAACACAAGTCATTCCCCAATTGATAAATGGTCAAAGGATATGAACAGGCAGTTCTCAGATGAAAAATTAAAGTCATCTATAGTCATATGAAAAAATGCTCTAAATCACTATTGATTAAAGAAATGCAAATCAAAACAACTCTGAGGTACCAAATCATACCTAGCAGATTGGCCAACATGACAAAACAGGAAAATGATAAATGCTGGAGAAGATGTGGGAAAATTGGAACACTAATGCATTGTTGGAGTTGTGAAATGATCTAACCATTTTGGAGAGCAATTTGGAACTATGCCCAAAGGGCTATCAAAATGTGCATACCTTTGACCCAGCAATAGCACTTCTAGGGCTATATCCCAAAGAGATCATACAAATGGGAAAAGGACCCACATGTACAAAAATATTTATAGCAGCTCTTTTTGTGGTGGCAAAGAATTGGAAATTGAGAGGATGCTGAACAAGTTGTGGTATATGAATGTAATGGAATACTATTGTACTATAAGAAATGATGAGCAAGTAGACTTCAGAAAAACCTGGAAAGACTTGTATGAACTGATACTGAGTGAAGTGAGCATAACTAGGAGAACGTTGTACACAGTAACAGCCACGTTGTATGATGACTAACTTTGATAGACTTAGCTCTTCCTTTTCAGCAATGCAAGGATATAAGACATCTCTAAAAGTGTCATGATGGAAAATGCTATCCACATCCAGAGAAAGAACTATGTGGTTTGAATGCAGATCGATCGAAGCATACTATTTGCTATTTTTTTTTCTTCTGCTATGTTTTGTTTCCTCTTTCTAGTGGTGCCTCCTATTGGTTCTCATTCTTACGTGCAACATCACTAATGTGAAGATATGTTTAATAGGAATGTGTATGTATAGCCTATATCAGATTGTTCACTGTCTAGGGGAGGGAGGTGGGGAGGGAGGGGGAGAAAAATTTAAAACTCAAAAGCTTATGGAAGTGATTGTTGATAATTCAAAATAAATTAATAAAAAATAAAAAATAAAAATAAAAGGGGGAAATTCTAAAGACCTTAGAAATAAAATTGCAAAGGAAATGCTAAAAACAAACAAACAAACAAAAAACCAAGAGATGCTTCAGTAGTATTACCAGAAAAACAAATGGACACACCTCAAAATCTATGGTTCTAGAAATAGTGTTGGACACGGAATCAGAAAAATGGGTTTGAGTCTCAGCTTACCATTAGTACTAGCTATGTGGCCCTGGATGAATCACAATCTCTCTGAGCCTATGTTTTCTCATCTGGGATAGTGCTATTTGCACTCCTTGACTAGAGGAGTAATCTTGAGGATCTAATGAGATGATAGCATGTTAGAATGTAAACTGCTTTTCTTGCTATTTTTCTGTTGTTTGCAGTCACTATTAGCATTCCTGGCTTTTTCCTTTTGTTAATATCCTTCTTGATTCTTATGATTTATACCTTTGCTTAAAACTCATCAACACTTCTGCATTAAATAGCCAATGATTTTAGATCAGAAAATGGCTTATACTATTTGGATAAAAATAGCCTTTCAAATGTAAGTGGCATTATTCAATAATATTAACCATTTGTGTCTATTTTCTCAAATGTCCCAAAATTTCTCCTAAATGGAAGAGGATCCAAAGATGTAAAAATAATAACTTAATATTTGTAAGTCTGCTACTCAGCAGCTTGCATTTTACATCTCTTCTCCATTTGTAGTTTACATGAAGATAATCTGGATCTTGTGATCCACTCATGTGACTGTAAGATCACTCCAGGAGTGTAATCACCACATGGTCATCTCGGCCTTGCCATAGCATTTCTCCTTCAAAGTGAACAAGTCCATGTTTCCTGGCTCTCATGAGGATGCCCACCACCTTATCAGAAATCCGTACGTATCTGTCAAAGAGTTCCCCAAAGGTGACTTGGATTTTGCCATCCCGTCCGCAGCGAGCCATTGTTCTGATGATAAAGCACAGACCCATGACTTCCCGGTGGATGTGTTCTTCTGCTCGTTTGGCCCGTTCAGCAGTTTTTGTCCCCTCTCTGGGGTGCCCATAGCCCTCATCCCCTTTGTGCAGGCGGGTGGACATGGCCAGCTCGTGATCAAACTCTTCGCTAAAGGGATTCAGCTTTTGAGACTGCAGATGCTCATCAGCCCATTTTTGCCATCTCCCCTTCATGCTGTTCACTTGGCTACATTTCCTCTGAGCCTTGCTGCTGAGATTCTCTGCAAACCGGCTAGCCCTCAAAGTAAGAAAGGAAATAGTTTCAATACCAAGGGATATCAAAGTTATCAAAAGACTCTTCCACGACAATCCCCTCCCCCTTTTTCACTCTATAGTACTTGTTTCAGAATCACAAGGTAAATGCACTTCTGAAAAGTTATATGTAAATCTATTTTAGAAATGGAATCACTTTAAAAGGGCCCGCACAAGTGATCTAACTTCCCAGTGCCTCAGCTTCCTCATTTACAACGTGAGGGAGTTGGACTCAGTGGCCTGTAACGTCCTTTCCATTTCAAAAATTCGTGATCCTGTGACCTTTGAGATGAGTCTTCTTGCAATCATAAATGATTCTGTAACTTCCCTCTACTGTGTCTGTTTTTTCGGATTTTTTTAAATATTGAATTTTCTTAAATCCAGGGCACACACGGACAAACATCACTGGTTTGTAATATTCATGATTATCAATCTCCCAAAGCTTAAACAGCAAATGTGAGTGCTGCTCTGGAGGATATTAGAATGTTCATCATAAAACAAAATTTTGATACTAGCAAAAAGCACCAGAAAATTCAAGGTTCCCATAGGAAAAGTATTAGTCAATACAAGAACTATGCAGGCAACCCTAGAAAAGACAGAAGGAAGTTATGTGTTCTAAGTTATGTATTCAATTCTTTGCTCAACAACAGTAACAACAAAAACAGCCCTGTCTTTTAGTATTTGTTTCATTTAATGGAATAGGTTGGGTCAAATTGAGGTCAGCTAGGTGGCACAATGGATAGAATGCTAGGCCTGGTGTCGGGAAGACTCCTCTTCAAATCTGGTCTGACACAGTAGCTGTGTGACCCTGGGAAAGTCATTTAACCCTGTTTGCCTCGGTTTCTCACCTATAAAATGAGGAGGAGGAAATGGCAAACCGCTCCAGTATATTTGCCAAGAAAACCTCAAATGGAGTCACAAAGAGTCAGACATGATTGAAAAGAAGACTAAACAGCAACTGAGTTTCCGGTCAATTCATGACTGAAACACTGATGTTAATAAATTTTAAAAAGATGTGCTGGGTAATTCCATTGATATTTTCATTCCATTGCAGTGCCAAATGTGAATACCCGTACTTTTATCTCTGTCAATGAGAATGATAACCACTAGATGGCAGATTTTCACTAAATCTAGGGTTGAGTTTTTCAAAACATGAGACCTGTATCTAGTGCTCTGTCGTCATACTTATTTTTCCCCTTTGTTAAAATTAAAATAATATTTGCTATATACAATATATTTTACAAGTGTCAAAATCATAGCCTCTTAGGATTTAGGAAAAGAAATAGACTTTCTTCCACTCAATAATTAGAGATTTATTACAAGATATTTTTCTTGATCAACTAATAGACTCAATAGTTTCCATTTTACAAACAACAATGGGACTGAAATTGTGAATATTGAGATTATATAAAATAGAAAAAAAATCAAAAGAACCATGAAATGTTGAGAATCGGGGAATTTGTCTATATAGTTCATGATGGCTTTTCGAATCTACGCAAAAGTATGTTTCTTCAGTCACCTAATGTTACAAGCTCTGAGAAACAAAACTTTTCTAAATTAACCAATAAGCATGCATTATAAGTCTGCTATATGCAGGGTAGTGGACTATGGAACTTCAAGAAAAATACCTTGGAATTCTTATCTTGCTTTATTCATTCAAGAAACCCTCCCATTCCTTTCTGAAAATTCTTTCCTGTTAACAATCTCAAAATAATCTCATGCTGTTAGAAGCAAATCTATTAGAGTGCTGGGTTCCTGCCTTAACTTTATGGCTATCTAGCATTTGCATAGTGCTTTAGGGTTTGTAAAATATTTTACAAGTATTATCTCCTTTAATTTTCTTTACCACCCAGTAAGGTAGGTAGTATTATTATTATTCCCATTTTGTAGGTAGGAAAACTAGGGCTAAGAAAGGTTAAATAACTTGCCCAGGGTCACACAGCTAGTATGAAGAATTTGAACTTAGGTCTTGCTGCACACTATCCAGAATGGCACCTAGATGTGATGGTCCAAGGAGATTTGAGGAGTATCAGAGATAAGGATTATGAAACTAGTTTGAAAGAACAGCACATGGAAAGCACAGTGTTATATATTTACACATTGAAAGAAGACTTTTCTTGAAGTAAGAAGTTCGGGGTTCATATCCACATGCTTTCTAGCTGTGTGACTCTGGGCAAGATATTGAACCTTAGTTTATCCATTTCTAAGGTGAATCACAGGTTCACAGTTATGACTCCCTCACCTCCACTCAGAAAAGAAAGCAGATGAAAACAAAAGGAAACTCTGTTTTTAAAAAATCCATAGTCTGGTCTTTAGAAAAACAGGCTAGTTCTTTTCCATCTGGATGGAGCTTTTCTCATGTTCTCCATTGAGTTTTCCTAAGAAAAATTAGTTAGATGGAGAGAAATAGCCCTGGTCAGTGGCAAAGAGAATTTATTTAAAATCCCAGCAGGAAAGTCTCAGGAACAAGGCATTTCTAAAAGCTGGGGAGGCAAAAACACAGAAAACCTGTGGGAGACAATGGAAAAATGGAAGTGTGAAGAAAAAGTTAGGAAGAGCATGGCAGGAGAGGGAAAAGTGAAAATTGGATCATAAACTGGTTTTGGTTAGAATCTAAACTGGAAATAAGGTGATAATTTAGACAGCCAGTATGGAAATGGGTAGTTTGGAAAAGTGAGAATCATATTTGGTTAGAAAAGAAATAATGGAAATTTAATGTGAACAGAATGATGCTAAAATATACAAGAACTAGACAAATGAGAAAAGTGAATTCTCTCCACTCAAGACTAAATTTTCACTATTTAACAGAGTTTCTTTTGGCCTCTATCTGCTTTCTTTAAAATCCAGTTATCTTCGTAGGGGGAATAGACTTTTAAATAGGGTGGTTGTCAAACTACCTGTTTGACCATTTCACCTGAATGCTCTGACTGGGGGAGAGAGAAGGATTCAGGAAGACACAGATGTCATCTCTTCTCCTTAATTATTTGTGTTGAGACAGATTTGTTTTTCTCTACAATCTGAGGAAAACCCCCAGCCACCTAAAATCCATTTTTCTCTTACGTGGATGTTTTAAGTTTATGAAATCCTTAAAAAACAGTATCACTTAGATTTGTTTCCATTTATTTGAGAGATGGAGCGGGTGGGGCCTGGAAATAAAAGCTTTTTGCAGAGTGGATCTCTTAACATAGCTGGCTTCCTGCTCCCAGCTGTAGGCACCAGCAATCCTGGTTATAAACGCCATGTGAGAGTCTCAATAGGCAATCTTGGAATTTAGATTTCTGGAGAAGCAGCCTGGACTGGCCTAGAATTACCCCTGACATTCAGGGGTGCTGATATAAACTAATTTCTAGCACCACATGTTCCCAAAGAGGTGGGTGGAGAGGATGGGGAATGGAGAAACTAGAAAAGAGATCAAAGGTAATCAGTGCTCTTGCACAGATCTCAGAAACACAAGAAAAAAGTGGTGGTAATTGGGTCATACAAACTACATTCTTTAAATCATAGTAGACCTTGTATTAGGGCTGGTTTTATCTTTTCTCTGATTATGCTATCCAAAATTCATATAAAGAAAGGGGGCAAATCCAGATCTTATATAACTATAGAATATTAGAATTGGAAGGGTTAAGGATGGCCATCCCTGCCAGCCCTCTCACTTTATAGATGATGGAACCAAGACTCAAAGAAGTTAGACTTTATCAAGTTCATACTTTGAGCTAGTGGCAATGCTAAGATTTGAATCCATGTCCCTGGACTCTCAATCCAGTGGTCTTTCCATCAAACTAGGGTGCTTCCTTATTTTATAGACCAAAAGCATCTGAGAGTATTGAGCGTTTGAGCTTAATTGTATTTAGGGAATTTTTATTTTTTTAAATTTTTTTTGTCTATACCTATGATTTCATTGGTAAAAGGAATTGTTATCCACCAATGCAGGTTGGATCCAAGCTTATAGTCTTGGAGCAGGAGTTCTTAACCTTTGTGTGTGTATGTGTGTTCAGGTACTCATCTGGCAGCCTAGCAAAGCCTATGGACCCTTTCTCAGAATATGTTTTGAAATGCAAAAACTAAAGTACATAAAATTCCAAAGGAAACCAACTATGTTAAAATATAGTTACCAAAAATGATTTTTTTAAAGCTCATAGACTCCAGGGTAAGAATCTCTATCTTAAAGAATTGCTGAGAATGCTGAAAGATGTCTTGTCCAAGTCATGCAGCCAATATGTATTAGAGGTGAGACTTGAACCCAGATCTTCCTGGTTTGGAGGCAGTTTTTGATTCAGTCCTTGGTATTCACAGACCTTTCATGCTTCAAAAAGAGCTGGGAGTTCATCAATGTGGATACTTTCCACTGATAGAGATAGCTACCCTTGCATGCCTTTCGTAGTAGACAATTTCATGAGTTGTTGGAGTAGGATTAGCCCTGTGGTTTTACTGGTACAGGGAACTTCTGGTCCAACTTCTACCAATGCTGATTGGTATTTTCTCTACAACTCGGCATTTGAAGCACTGGGAAGTTAAATGACTTACTCAGGGTCACATAACCATTATATATCAGAGCAAGGGTGGATAAAGGTGGATATATATCAAGCTCTCTAGCCACTAAGCAACACTACTTCTCATGGATTGTTTGGGCTAGAAAAAAAAAAAAGGTCATCACCTAACTAAAAAAAGTTAGTGCCCAACTTTCCGGTAATGAATAAATATCTCTGAGCTCAACTAGGCTGGTCCTCAGTATGATAGACATAGAATTCTTTGATGAGTCTGTTTTCAATGCATTTTGAGCTGAGTTAGTAGCCTTGCCTTTGAGTCTGGGCTTATCTAAGTGCCAATGATGAGAAATCAAAGTATAACTTTGGTGGGATATAGAAATCAAAATTCTTTTTTAAACTTTTAAAAATGTGACACTTTAGGTATCCACATAAAGTAAGATGATATATTTGGTTTTCCATGTTTCTTCAGAACATTAAACTTTTAGTGACATTACATGAATGATGGTTTTTGTGTTTCCCATATTTTGAGCCACTATGAACCCAGAACTGAAATGTAAAATTGAAGAATTGTACTAAAATAAAAGGTATATTTTTCATTACAAAACTATTTTCACCTGATGCTTTTTTGGACAAATGTATAGTATATCCAGGATCTTGTTAAAATTGGGTTATTTTGATTTTGATAAACCAAATGGCTTTGTTCCTAATTTAGTGTAAAGAGTGCTAGCCTGGGAGATAGGAGGCCTGGGTTCGAATTTTGCCTGAGACACTAATTGGGTGACCACAGGTGAGTCCTTGAACCTTGCCTCCAACCTCAATTTCTTCATCTGCAAAATAGTAATAATAATATCTCTCTTATCTACCTCATAAGGTTATGGGAGGAAAACACTATAACTATGAATTACTACAGAATCATTAGTTTGTGTTTTTGTTACAAAAGTCTATGAACTTGGGATAGAGTGCTGGGATTGGAGTCAGAAGGGTTCATCTTTGTGAATTCAAAACCGGCCTCAGAGTCTTACTAGCTGTGTGAACCTGGACAAATCACTTAACCTAGTTTTCCTCAGTTTTTTCATCTGTAAAATAAGCTGAAGAAGGAAATGGCAAATCACTCCAGAATCTTTGCCAAGAAAACCCCAAATGGGGTTAACAAAGAGTCAGACAAACAACATAAGAGGTAATGTGATGGCGAAGATAGTTGGACATACAGCTAGGAAGACCTGGGTTCAAATCCCATCTATGATATATAATGTCATTATGACCCTGTACAAATAATTTAACCTCTTAATACTCTGGGCAACTTTCTAAGACTATAAGGTACAGAGGGATCCTGCACTGGTAGAGAGATTCTTACCTAGGAATTCCTTAGACCAATGAAATCACGGACCTATTCCTTCTCCTTAAGAACTGAGCAAAATATTTTATTCTTCTCAAGAAACATTACAAAATGGTCCAATGTACATTTTTGTGATTCACATTAAGGGAAAGACTCCCAGTAGCAGTCAGCAAAAAAAGTATACTTCTACCTTGCAAGGAAGTAAAATTTCATAGAGATTCTGTGCCCCATGGATATTACTTGAGTAATTTTATAGATTAAATTAGAAACAGGGCAGGTATTCCCCAGATTATTGACAGCCCCCTGCATCTTGTTTACCGTTCTTCGAAGGAATGAGGTATTTCAGTAAGGAATTGTTGAGCTGAATCACATACTTCATTAAGAATAAATACCACTCACAGGTGGCTTTAGCTTTGCTGAGGATGTGGATTAGAGGTTTGGCTCAAAATAGAAAGCAGAAACCCAATACTGTGGGCACTTTTTAAAATGGTACGTATAAGTCTTTAACAGGCAGCTAGGTAGTGCAATGGATAGAGTGCCAGGCCTGGAGTCAGGAAGACTTTAAATTAAAACTTTCTGAGTCCAAATCTGGCCTCAGCCACTAGCTGTGTGACCGTAAGCATGTCACTTAACCCTGTTTGCCTCAGTTTCCTCATTTTTAAAATGAGTTGAAGAAGGAAATGACAAATCAGTCCAATATTTTTGCCAAGAAAATCTCAAATGGGTCGTGAAGAGTCAGATATGACTGAAACAGCTAAAGAACAACAAAAAAAGTGTCTTTAAGGGAACACAGACCAAAGACATAGTGATATGGAAGAAAGAGCAGTAGGTTTGGAGTGAAGAGACCTAGCAATTCAAAGCAATGAAAACTGTGCTAGATTTGGAATTCAGTGAACCTGGGTTTGAATTTCAGGACTGGCACTCAATACTTGTATGACCTTGGGCAGAGGCAGCACTTAACCTCTTTGATCTTATTATGAGAGAGTTGGACTAGGGGACCATCCACCTTTAAATAGATAAGATCCTACATTGAACAGTTTACAAAATCTTAATGTCCTTAACTCTGTAAGAAGGAGATAACACTTAGACTACCTAACTCACAAGGTGCTTGTGAGAAAAGTATTCTCAAAACTTTGGAGCTCTAAACTTATGTGAAATACAATCAATGTATATGTGAATTATATATGCACATGTACATTATATGTTCTAAATGCATATATGCACACATATGTGTATGCATGTACCTATATTTCCTCTAAGCCTGTGTTTTATCAATGCACGGAACTATCAGCATGAAATTCCCTACACTCATGAAACTTAATAACTCGCCTGAAATTTATAGGCAGTTTCCTGGAGGCCCTGAGAGGTTTAGAGAGTTGCCCAGGGTCACAGAGCCTATATGTGTGAGATAGCTAGGTAGTACAGTAGATGGAGTACTGGACCTGGAGTCATGAAAGAGCCGAGTTCAAGGTTTGCCTCAGGCACTTAACTTAGTTATGTGACCCTGGGCAAAGTCACTTAACCTCTCTCTACCTGTTTATTTATTTATTTTTTTTGACAAATGTCTAGTATATCCTTGCAGAATTTGGAGGACTAAATGACATAACATATGCTAAGCACTTTGAAAACCTTAAAGTTCTTTTTGAATGATAGCTATCAGTATTAATGTATCAATAGTGGGGGTTGAGCCTGGATCTTTCTGTTTCCAAGACAAGACTTCTATCCACTAGGCTGTCTCTGTTTCATAATAGTATATGCATTTTTAATTCATGGGCCTATCCCAGAACCGATGGCTTTTGTCTCATTAAGAAAGGAAGGAAGGAAGGAAGGAAGGAAGGAAGGAAGGAAGGAAGGAAGGATGGATGGATGAGAAAAGAGAAATATAGCATTCTCCTGTCTTTGCTGTGGACCTAGAGAGTCTCTTTCCAGGGGAAAAAAATGGCCACACTATTGTAGCATGAATTCACTTACTGGGAAGGCATGGGTCGTTTAATCCTGGCTGCAATCACGTGGTCTCCTTCTTGCTTGTTGACTTCCTGCTCTAGCCGCTCTTCGGAGGAATCCCCTCCATAGCCACTGTCCTCAGTGTCTATGCTATCACTGCGGCTAGTGGGTTCCTCTCGTTCTATTTCTTTCCAGCCTTTGGTCAGTTCTGACACCAGGTTCAAGCACTTCCTCCTCCTGGTTGGGGAAGTATGGCTGTTCAGGATCTTGTCAATGTGATTCAAGTATTTTCCTTCCTGCCATGATTCACAGTTGGTCCCATCATTCTCATATCTGTGGCTGAGAAGGCTCATGTCCCCTCCTCGCTCATAGACTTTGTTGACCACTGTTTTGGTTACCTCCTTCCTTTTAATGTGGGTCTCCCCGGGTTCATCATCAGGAAGGTTGTTTAAACACTCCCTGTCTCTATTGCAAAATGGCTTTGCCAGTAGGCTCCTCTGACCTGCTCCTATACCTTGTTTCTCCTGGAAGGGCTCTAATAGTTCTGTATTCTTGTTCTCTTTGGGTGACCCACCAGCCTCTTTAGCTCCACCAGGCAGCCACCCTGAAGGTTCTTGGGCTTGCTTCGTACTATTCTCATTGGCCCACTGCTGCCAGCCTCGAGCTAAGCTAATAACCAGAGAGGCTGTCCGGATCTTCTTTATCGCTCTTTGAGCTGTCTTCTCCTTTGGCTTTTCTTCAGGGGCCATGCTGCTCTCTTCTATCTTTGTCCTGTCAATTGCCCTGAGTGAATAATGTTGAGTACAATAGTGTGGTTGGGATTTAAATAGAAGCAGGGTGTGTGGGGTGGGAAGGAGGATCTGGTGACGATGGAAACTATGTCAGGCATTTCTCTCCAAGATACAGTGCCTTAGAGGTGACAGGGTTCTTTTTTTAAAACACCCTGGCTTGCGTTTCATCCTGGCAGGTGGATATTACAGATGGTGAAGACTGGTGACATAGAGGGACTAAGGTAAGGGCCCCAATGGAAATTATGAGATCTGATAATCTCCTCTGCATGTGCTCTTTGACCTTGCACTTGCTCAGTAGTAAATCATGATTTCCTTTCCCTTAAATTTGCTCTACTAATATTAGAAGATTACCTCTTAGCATAATTATAAAATGAACCCATCATTTTCTTTTGTTTCCAGCCTTTTGAGAAGTGCTACAGAATCTATGAATCATAGGATGGTAGGGCAGGAACGAACCTTGGGGATCATCTAGTCTAATCCTTGAATTTAACAGATGAGGAAACCAAGGGCCAGGAAGCTAATTAAACATGCCCATGTCACACAGGGGATACGCATTAGAGGGTGGGATTTTTGGCCCAAGTGTCCTGATTTGGAGGTAGAACTCAAGTTCTCTGACACCTCTCTTTTTCCTAGTGTTCTCAGTTTAACTTTATAATGTTTCTAAATTTTTTTCAGTTACATAATAGGATGGTGAGAACGTTGGCTACATGCGTTAGCCTTCCTGAACGGGGAGACTGAATTACTAATATAAATCTTTAAAAAGTTTTATGTAACAGTTGTTCTGTGACCTAATCAAGGAAACGCAGATGAGTTTACTCATGAAGGAGAATTGGTGACATATGTATTTCATATTTTCAATTATATACCCCTCTCCTCACCTAGTTTTTTTGGGGGGGGTGGAAAGCTATCATTTCACCTCTTGAAGAGAATGGACTGAAAAAAATGATGTTTATGATTAATTAAGAAATCATCAAGCATTAATTAAGTGCCTAGAATGTGCCAGGCAGTGTGCCAGGTTCTGAGGTTACAATGACAAAGATGAAACGCTTCCTGCTCTCAAGGTTTTCACATTCTAATGGGGAAGACAGCATAAACATATATAACAGATGTTTGGGATGGCTATGAACTATGTAGCACCTCATATCTCTCACTTGGAGTATGTGGAGACCTCCATTACTCTCTGAGTTGACTGGCCATTCTAGCCTAATCGCATATCAGCAGGTCTAGGTTCCTAAAGAAGGACAACCAAAAGATCATCCTATCAGATTCTTTCAGTGTCCTGAGACTAATTCTGTTGTGAGGGAATATACTTCCCCTAACCACCATGTTAGCTCTTGAGTCCCCACCAATACACTGCTATTTACACAATGAGCCATTCATAATATTGACACTTTTAGGTTTTAAATATTAGTAAAGGAAAAAACATAATAACAACATCATAGTAGTCATATATTAAAACACATGTATGAATGCTAAGTATATTATAATCCACACATAAACCTGGTTCACACTCCCACCAATGCATTCAGTATCTGGGGGAAAGAGTGAATATACTCTAATGGAAACCTGCCAAGGTAGCACGTGGAATGAGGAAAAGTAATGTTCTTGGAGTAACTCACAACTGTGAACCTCAATGTCCTCTTTCTGTGTCAAAAACTGTCTAAAAAAGTTTTTTTTGAAGAATGTAATTTATGTTCTGAATAGATGCTTTCATTGCTAAACTGAGTTCATCAGTATTGTGCTTGACTAATGCCTTACTGGACATAAGGTCTCAGCCAAATGAATTTATCTGAGAATGACTTCCATGATTCTCAGTACTCTCAATTTACTTTTCTGCTTTATTGGACATAGTTCTCAATCATGATTATAGTACTTATCACTTCCAGCTTCAAATTTAGCTGATGCAGCTCTGAAATCTATCCTTTTACTTCTTTCTCCCTTCTCTTATCTTTCTAGGTTTAGGTTCTGGGTTTTCTCCACAAATGCCTCAACTTCTTTTATCATTAGTAACCAAATTCTTACCTTGCCAATAATCAGATAAATTATATTTGTCCCCAAATCATAGAACAGCTTTGGAGTCCTAATCTCCCCAATTTACTACATATAGTTTGTTATCTTAAAAATTTGGCAACAACTTATCTCACAATTTTGGGTCAAGTAATTACTTCAGTAATTCTTAGAACTCTAAGCAGACAACTCAGCCTCAGATGTTAAAGGGATAGTAAATTACATAAATATTTACAAAATAAATTAAAAAAAGTAGTTTTAAGGAGGGACAGCACTAGTAGCTATGGAGATCAAGAAAGAATTCATTGACAAGATGGTACTTGAGCTGAATCTTAAAGGAAGTAAGGGATTCAAAGAGGTGGATGAAGAGGGACTTCATTCTAGATGGGGAGAACAGTCAATACATAGGCATAGGGATTGGAGATGCAGTGTGTGAAGACTAGCAAAAAGGAGAGTTTGACTGAATTTTGAAGAAATTGATGATTATGATGGAGATGAAATAAGAATGAAATGATGATGATAAAAATAATTAGAAAGATGAGGCAGTGGGGCATGATGGGAAGACAAGCTATGGGTTTAAATTCTACCTCTGGTGCTTACCAGTTATATAACCTCAGGTAAATCACCTAACCTCTCCAGACTTAGTTTTCTCATCTGTGAAAATAAGGGCATTGGGTTAGATGGCCCCTGAGTTCCCTTTCAGCTCTAAACTTATGATCCTATGATAAGTGCTTTTTACATTAAAAGCACTACCAGTTTAGTTGTATCCAGATGACAGAAAAATCTCCCAGGATCTGAATGACTTGACAGCATAAGTCAAACAAGATCCACTTTTTCCAGGGTTTCCTTCCTCATCTAATAATGCTGACAAACTATTGACAATATTGATTGAAAACTAGGCAAGACTGATTGGAATATAAAAGACAGTATAGTGGGTAATTACCTGACTATGATGTACAGTTATTTTACAGAGAATAGTTGGTACATTTCTAATCCTCTTAATGACTCCCATTCACCTTCTCAGATTAAAACAATTGGGGAAAATTGTAGCTCCAATGCTGCTCTGTTTCCCTTTCCTGATAATGTTAAGTGAGTAGTGCAAGGACAGTCAAATTTCTTTTGATTACCATGAGGAGATTCTATAGCAAGAAATTTTAAACATTCAAACACTGAAGGGCTTAATCCACAGTATGAAGCATTTAGCATTCCTACAAGGAATATAAATATATCTCAGAGTATTCTGTGCCTATTGCTTATCCCTACTCTGTTTGGCAGACCGTGGGAATAAAGGCTGGCATTAGATGAGGTAGGGGGAAAAAGTGGTGAGTGATTCCAGTGTACTCAGATTTCTCAAAAGCTTAGCTCAGGATCAGATTAATTCCAACTTTATGTAACAGCCTCTTATAATAATTAGCTTATTTTAAGTGTAGAAGTAATATAATGTTACCAAAGGTTCACATGGATCCCTCTTCTGTGTCTTTAGGTGCAGGGAGTTTAAGTTAGATGACAAGTTATGAATTCAATTACAATTGTTCCAAGCTCTCAGTTAGGAAGATTCCTAGTGTTTAAGCAGAGGTTGAGCTCTCTGGCTAAATTTACCTTTATATCTATCTCTAGTTTTTCCCTGACATCTTTCTACTTGAGGCAAAATTCAGGTTATTGGAAACATTTGGGTAATGAATCAGCAGATTATATTAAAGTATTTATGGATAGACAAGTCCAGACTCTTGAGATCTCTACCTAGTACTGTGATAGATCCTTCCTTTTATACAAATTTATTAGCACAGAACTAAGTCTCTAAGACCATAGCGTACCTGTCTTGTTCACACTGTTTCTGACTGATTGACAACAGGAAGTGTTCTTACCTAACAAAGGACATTACTTTTAAGTGGGTAGTATAACCAATGGAGCCCCACCCTTACATTTGGAAGGATTGTTTTTTTGTTTTGTTTTGGTTATGGGTTGTTTTTTTTTCTCCTCTTCTCCAAAATTGTCTAGCTTTAAGAAGTTTGATATATGATTCTCAGATCTATATACCAGTCCTAGTCTCTCTTGAGCTCTAGTACCATAGTGCCAAATTCCTACTGTACATTTCAAACTGGATATATCATATACATATTCAACCCAACATTTTCAAGACTAAACTCTTTATGTTTTTCCAAAATCTACTTCTCTTCCAAACTGTCGTGTTTCTGTTGAGAGCATGGCCATTCTCTAGTCACCCAGATTAGCAACCTCAGTATCACGCTGTATTCTTCATTTTCTACCTATACATTATAGCGGTTGTCAAATCTTCTAGATATCAGTTAGGTGGAATAAGAGAGAGAGTGCTGGATCTGGAGTCAGTTCAATCCTGCCTCAGACATTTACTTACTATGTGACTGGGCAAATCATAACTTCTCTCATCCTCAGTTTGCTCAATTGTAAAATAGGGTTAATAATAGTACCTATTTCATAGGGCTATTGTGAGGATCAAATGAGATATCATAGGCAAAGTGCCTTGCAAGCCTTAAAGGATGACAAATCCTAATTATTATTACTAATCATACCTCTCCAACATCTTTAATCTCCTTCCTCTTCTCTTCATTCACATAGCTACCACTTTTGTTCAAGTCCCGATCATCTCCTGCCTGAATTATTTTCATAGTCTCCTAATTGGTTTTCCTACTTCATCTTTCCTTTCTTCACTTTATCCTCCACTTAGATGCAAAAATGGCTTTCCTAAAATGTAGAACGGACCATGTTATTTCCCTAATTAGTAGACTCCAGTGACTTCCTCTTATCTGTGGAATTAAACACACATTCTTCCATTGGGCATTTCTTTTATGTCTTGGTTCTAAACTACCTTTTCAGTGTTATCATACATTCACAATTATTATAATTGTGTGATTATTATATTATATGAAAATTATGTGATATATCACATGATAATTTTGTCATACAATGCACCT